AAAATATAATTATACCATTATTTGTAATGTAAATTTAATTCTTCATTATTTACTTCATTAATAATAATAATTTTCGGTTAATAAAATTAATTTTCATTTCTCTTGCTCTTAAACTTCGTATTTATGCTGGATGTACGCTGCATAAAATAGGATTTTATGCTTTAGTGCATAAAATAAAAAACCATCACATTAAATATGTCTAACTGTTGTAATTTTACATTCAATTTTAATTAAATAATCGTTTATTTGTAACATTGCTGTTTAATTTCCTCGCAATCGAAGTGAAAAGCAGAGTGTATAACTCGTTCACAAAACCCATTTTACCCTCGACTTAAGTATCCACTGTCGCCTGCGGCTCGGGATATACTCATCTCGGGTAAAATGACGCGTTATGCACTTGTTGTACAATCTACTATTAATTGTTAAAATATTCGCTTAATTGTTATCTAAACAGAATTGAAAAATCCATTGTTGTGTTGTGAACCATAATTATTCATACCAGAAATAAACATTGTATTTATTTCCTCGCAAATGTGATGAAAAACGTTGTATGTATTACGGACGGTAAATAAATACAAAATTCGACTTATTATAGCCCAAAGCCGAAATTGACTGTCCCTAATACACAATGCACTTTTGATATTTATCATTTCAATGACGACTTCCGTGAACGAGCGGCTTGCGCATCTGTTTTCATGGTGTCGCCATCTCTGAGGTTCCGGGTTCGATCCCCGGCCGGGTCAATGTAGAAAACTAACTTTTCTGTATTGACTCGGGTCTGGGTGTTTGTGGTGCCGTCGTTGTTTCCATAATACAATTTCCATATATTATATGGAAATTGTATTATATGGAAATTGTATAATATATAATTTCCATAGTTCAATGTCCATAATACAATTGCTTTAGTTAGTTACTTTGGGATCGGAGCTACGTATGTGATATTGTCTAATAATACAATATTTATTTTAAATGTTATAACAGATCAAGATAACCAGAAAGAGCAGAACAAGTCACTACCATGGATTTTTGTCATGCAAGTATGCAGGAGCCGTATAAGCCATTAGTCGATATAAAGTTTTGTGATTTCGTAGCATTACAACTCCTTGTGAAAGAGTACGTCCAGTGTAGTACTGTCACCTTAACAATTTCTGCCGCCAAGCATTAATGTCAGAATTACTGTGTTACGGTTTTGAAGGGGGGTGCTGGTGAAATCACAGGCACATGGAACTTGTCAACTTGTGTCTCAGGCTGACGGGCGCGACGTCAGTGCCCCTCAGACCTTTGCGATTTATATCTATGAGTGGCACTGCAACTGTTATGTAAATGCGTGTAGCTTGCCATAAAGCGCACGACTTGTTCGTCCCTTCACTTGATATTATAAAAAAAATAGGTTTTTCATTCATTATAGTTTTACATTTCGTATATGTCAAACTTTGAATATTAAATCTTATTACAGAAGCGTATGCATTATTGAATAGTCTCGTTACGTACCAGGTAAGTGCTTTGAAGGTGGTCGCTGTTTATACAACAATGGATCAATGAGTGGTTTAATATATGATAGCAATTATGAATAATCAATACTAACGCTAGCAATCCTTATCAGGAAACTAATATCAATGATGTTACGACTTATGTGCTCCTTAGAGCTCCTTATGATAGAATTTTTTTAAATTCCATATCTGTACTGTATCAGAGACGCAATGATATTGGCCTAATATTTTCCTTGACAGTATGTTTAGTGTTGGTGAATAACATGCGAAAGTATTGGGAGTATGTGTAAGAGAAGTGTACTGAGAATAGTACAATACTTAGTACTACTCATTACTACATTTTTTTTCTTTTCTTTGCCTCTTTCTTTTTTGTTTGTCTTCTTGTTTGGGAATATCTGTGAGAGGACAGTTTACAAGAAGAGAGTTCGTCCGGAGAAATGCCCTTACCTACCTATGTGTGTGCGTTCAGGTTTCGAAGGGTAAGGGTGTTGGTGAAATTATTGATAGGTACATGGACTTATCAACTTATATCTCAGGGTACCGAGCGCAGTGGCAGTGCCTGTCAGATATTTGTGATTTAATGCTCTGAATGGCATTGCAATTGCTATGGACAGGCGAGTGTCGCTTACCACGTTATGCAAGTTCATAGATCATCTGAATTGGATTTGTTTTCGTTTTCATTAAATAAATTTAAAACTGTATTATATAACTGCTCAAAGTAACAATTTTGTAGCTTTGCAATTTAATTTGACCACATTTACATTATTTGCTTTGAATAATCATATCCATTGGTTTGTACAAAGAGTAAACGCTTGTGATACTATGTTATATGTGCATGCTATATTTGCCTATTATTGGGTTTACACTCGAGTAATTTGTGCAGTGTTATTCGTTCTTGTACATTGTACAGCAGGCTTAAAATTTGCATGAACGTATACCTGAAAATCGTCAACGTCAGTTTAACTAATAGTGCGATTCACGTAAGTTCAAGCTATCAAAATATCGTTGAAGTTACGTAGTCGTTCAGTTCGAGTAGAATCGAAACGTAACGACTAATGAACGACATCCTGGATTGTGAAATCTGACATTTAGTCGTCGGAAGTCTATTGAAAGAACTGTCAAAATTTTAGCAGAATACATATGACGTGTCGTTTAGAGTTGATTTAAATTCGAATAATATACCAGAAAATACGCTTTAACGACATTTGGATCGAATGACTTCAAATTGGACTCGTTGACGTTCACCGTCACACGTGAATAGGAAAAAGCAGTTCAACGACTAAATCGCTACGACATCGCAACGGTTTGATTACATGAATCACCCCACTGGTATCTTTAAGCACTTGTTGTCAGAGTTATGAGTGAATGAAATAAGATTTTGTGTTCTTTGTGAAAGCTGTACTATATAAACTAAAGCTAGTTTTAATGTGGAATGAGTATTTTGATATCAGGGGGTCTACTCTCGATCTCCGTCCGAAACAATTACTGTCAAATAAGCAATACTTGACCAAATGAAAAGACACGTGTTGCGAATGAAGCTGCATACTGGATACTTGTCTTTTAATTTTGTCGAATATTACTTATTTGACAGTAATTGTTTCGGACGGATGTCGGGCGGAGATCGAGTGTAGCCCCCCAGATCGAGGGAAAAAGGTATCTGGTATCGCACGACTCAGTGTCAGTCTCCTCTTTTCCCTTGATTTGCAGAGTGCAATTATGGTAAGAAAATAGTTGTTATCGCACTAAGGATGAGAACCGGACACGTTCCATTAAACAGTTTTGCTTTCTTAATGAAAAAAAAGAACAACGTGAGCGGTACGAGCAATAGAGGGCGGCGTTGATGAGAAACCTCTGATCAACCGAACATCCGTAGGTGCTATAAATTGTATAGGTACTAAGCAATCCCCACACGAAACAGATAAAAAGACTGTTACTATTTGTTGAACAGGCTCTCCAGCAGCGCTGTTCAGACATGTAAGCTATAGTTTAGAATACGATGGAATATACATATACATTGTACAAAAGCTCCTAAATAAATAGGCCTCGCGTCTATGCATAGGCGGCTTCCGTTATCTTCTTCTTTTTCTTTACAAAACGTATTAATACTCTAGTGTTACACTATCGTATAGATTTGAAACATCCGTTTATAACTGGGTCTGACGCTTGGCAATTACTTCAAGTGGATACGGGTGCTTATGACAAGTAATTATTATGCTCCTCTGCAGCTGTTGTTGCTTTAAATATAATGAGATATATTTTTGAGACTACAACTTGAGACGTCGCTGAATACAGTTTTTGCCGCTGCTCAGATGGAGCAACTTTGATGATTGAGTTTCGACAACTGGCAACCCGCAGCTTGCTGTTTATTGACGTTTTTCATATAATTTCAAGAAACCACGTAGACGTAACTCCAGTTGAGAGTTTCGGCAATCGACTTCAGTTTTGGAATGCCGAAGTGCGTTATTAAATAAATTTTTAATGCCGCAACTAGAAACTTGCAAATTTGTACCGGTTGTCTCCGGAAGAGAGAAGAGGTGCTTAATACGAAATTATTTTTCGTGTGCATTTATGAACCGACTTCGATCTCTCTCGACTCAGCAAATTTAAATAAAATATTTTCTTTAAATTAAATAGTGGAATATTTTTTTAAATTTGCTGAAACGGCCATCAGTTCTATGAGCTATGTGCCCTGCCCACTGCCACTTCAACTTGCTAATCCTTTGAGCTATGTCGGTGACGTTCGTTCTTCTACTGATCTCTTCATTTCTGATTCGATCACATTGATAAATACCGAGCATTGCTTGCTCCATAGTTCGTGAGTGACTTTGAACTTTTTTATGATGCCCATAGTAAGCGATCACGTCTCAGAGTCGTAGGTTATCGCTGGCAACACGCACGGTTAGAAGGCTTTTGTCTTCTTGTTCTTCTTACTAAACCAATATAGCGGACTGGCAACTTTAAAACATTGGTAAATTCTACGTATTTCTTCGTACGTGGCTTAGACTTAACTTAAAACTTGAAATGTAAATTCCAGCTTAGTGTTGACTGAACATGAGCAGTATAAAAAAAATCTTAGTTATTGAGGGCGGCCTTTCTCTCTAGTGAGAGTGTAAAGGTATTTTTTGTATTATGATACCAAGTACGCAAGAACTGCTACGGACACGCTTGTCCGTAGCAGTTCCAGAGCCTTAAATCGCAGATCTGACGGGCACTTCCACTGCGTCCGTCATCGCCCTGAGACATAAGTTGACAAGTCCCAGATGCCTGTAATTTCACCAGCACTCTTACCTTTCAAAACTGGAATAAACAGTAATGCTCACATTACTGCTTAGTGGTAGAAATAGTAAGGTGACAGTACTGCACTGGACGAATTCTTCCACAAAGAGCTTTTACTGCTACTAAAGGTTTTTCTTTCGTATATTAAACATCTTTCTGTTCTCGAATTCCATTCTTTATCTACAGTGCAAACTATAAGCTAATATAATATTTCTGTTAAAAAAACATACTCACTTTCACCAGACACGGCGGAAATCGCGAACAAAACCAAAGCAAAAACACTTAACCCCATTTTCCTGTTAATTGAATTAATTGAATAATTCAGTACCACCTCGTCGCAACACTCACTGGTATTGCAATAAACGTTTGTCATCGTTTACTTCTTTATAATATACAGAGGTAATCTTATCTTTAATAGAGATCGTTTATTGTTACTAAAAGAGGGTAATAAAACAAAGGGCCTACCGCAAAATACGCATTCGCTACCTCTACTACGAGCTTATTCATCGTCGTTGGTAAAATACCATAGTATAAAAAGACAAGTATGGTAACTCCACACTAACGTAGCGTCGTGACTCGTATGTGTGCAAAATACGCATAGCTTTCTCACAGACGACGGTACGGCAAAAAAGTCGTTAAAAAAACCAAAACAAAGATCTACAACAAATACATACATGGAAAAATTCGTGTGGTCATGTCGTTCCGTGGCTTTGTTGGCATAGCATCTGGCACGGTTTGCTGGGAGACGTCGGTTCAAATCCAACCGGATCGAAGTGAAGTTTTTCTAAGTGTTCGATCTTTGTTTAATAATTTTAAAAAACTAGTGGAGTAATTTCACAAAAAATAATTGAATATCATGGTGGCCAAACATCCTGACGTTCAATGAAAACTTAATTATAATAAAATATTCATTTCTAGTTGCCGGTTGCTAGTATTCAACACAGGATACACGTTTGCGGGGCGCCTTATTATACTATAATACAGGCAAACTTACGACTAAAATGCGATCGTCATAATATAATTATGATATGGGGTCCTTCAACGCGGCGTGAAGAGGCATCTTGTAGGTACGATATGGGGTCCTTTAAACGAGGCGTGAAGAAGCATCTTATAGGCATGCATGTGATTGTACAACACTGCACTAGGTTCACATTGCACACGTTTGTATTCCATTTTCCATTTTACATCAGGTAGTACGAAGTTATCTGCCAGTTACGTATAAAAAAAGAAATAAAAAAGTATTCTGTACTTTTGTGTTTTCAATGCGTTGCATAAGTTAACTCTATTTTGGTTATGATGTTCGTAAGCTACATTAGGTCATCGTGGTGGATTATAACAAGAATAACAAGGAAAATACATATTTCATGAATATTTTTTTCAAAATATGAATCAACGTGTTGCTTTGTAGTTTTACGACATTAAAAACTGATTAATCATTAGATTACAAATAATTATTATATGTCCTGAATATTGATACTAAAATTTATATCAATGACACTCAGTTTACTAATTCACTGGCGAATATAAACGATACCCCTTTGGACAGTTATACCATTGAATTATACCATTAATGATATAAATGGAACTAACTTGTCCCATGTATACCTGTAATGGTGGTACTAGTTGATCCCAGTTATACCATTGGATAATAAACAATGGTATAAATAATATACCTGTCCCACTTATACCATTAAGAGTATAAATGGGGCAGAATGGTCCCATTTACTGGTTCGAGTCCAGTTGGATCGAATCAATTTCTCTTTGTGTTTGTTCGATATCGATTTCTCTTTGTATTGTATCAATAATAATAACAAACGAATGGAGTGTTTTTCCAAAAATTTTTTTTAACGCACACTATCAAGTCACGCACTAGGGAAACCCTGAGTTGCCATGGAGACACACATAGACAACCACAAATTAAGGCAACCAGAAATAAATGTAGGCCATACAAATATTTCTCCCGGCCCGGGAATTAAACCTGGGACCTCTGATTCTAATATCGATATCCGATTTTAAGATCATGGGAGTGAAAACAGCATTATGGTCAATAAATTTAAGAAAGGTCTTAGTAGTAGCCTAATGGTTTGACATACCGCTTCTCAAGCAGAGGGCGTGAATTCGAATCCAGATTTCTCGGAATTTGTGTCCAAAATTTGAAACTTACAATAAACTTTTGTATGTACCACGGGCCCCAAATGTTACAAACCTCGAGTCATTAGAGCCCTTAGCCTTCGGCTTCAGCTTCTAACGAACTTTCGTTAATGATTTCTTATTTACCGCTCTTAATACACAATGTACTATTGTGTAGTATTCCTATTACCGTCCCGAGAGATAGGGTTTTCCGGAGAGATTACGGGCGCGACGGCAAGACCAGGGTACAGCGCGCGTCCGGGTCAAGCCCTCCGCATACGTCTTCACGGGCGTCTCTGGCGGACCACTAGCCTTACAGAGAATCGGGTGAAGTAAGGTTATTAGATGGTCCCTGTGCGAGCGAGCTCATAGCGAGGTTATAGTTCCCTTCCCGCACAACCAAGAGGTTGATAGGGAGGGGCACTATAAACAAAACTATTTAGAAAAATATGGGACTGACCCTGGTATAAATGAAAATTAAAAAAAAAAACAGCCAATTAATCAATAGAGAAATGTTGTTCTCTACCTGCGGGGTGATTCACATAATCAAACCGTTACGATATTGTAGCGATTTAGTCGTTGAACTGCTTTTTCGTTTTCACGTGTGCCAGTGAACGTCAACGAGTCCAATTTTAAAGTCGTTCGATGCAAATGTCGTTAAAGCGTATTTTCTGGTATATGAATCGAATTTAAATCGACTCTAAACGACACGTCATATGTATTCTGCTAAAGTTTCGACAGTTCTCTCAATAGACTTCCGACGACTAAATGTCAAATTTCACAATCCAAGATGTCGTTCATTAGTCGTTACATTTCGATTCTACTCATATCAACTTTCGTTCAAGTGATACGTGAATACCCATTTTGGACAGGACTTCGATCGAACGACTACGTAACTTCAACGATATTTTGATAGCTTGAACTTACGTGAATCGCACTACTCAATGATTAAATTGTGTTCTTTAACACCTGCATGAAGGTAATACTGAGCACTCACTGAAACAGTAACTTTATCATAATTAGACAAGAATGGTAACTCCATACAAACGTAGCAGCTCGGTTTGTATGTGTGCACGCCTGCCGCGTGGCATCTGTGCAAACGCACACATTCGCAAAAATTTCGAAATGCACTCGCGTTGCATAGCGCTAGTCTTCTCACGCGCTTGTCATTATTATGCGAATGTGTGCGGCGGGCATGCATACATTTAAGCCGTGCTGCTGAGTATGAATAGAGTTACCATACTTGTCTTATTAACTTCTACTATGATATTACTCTCTGTATTCAGCTTCTGAATCTTTCTGCGCTTGCGGTTATTGGCAAATCTTTTTTAATTCATATTCAAAATTATGATTTGATCATCCATCATTCTTGACACATTTGAAAAGTGAAATTCACACCGAAGTTATCCAAATCATAAACCCTTATCAGCACTAAGTTTTGACACTTATATTAAATCCAGTGCTAATTAATAATAGATTCCTTCCAGATATTTTGCCTGTGTTGACTGGAGAACACGCATAGATTAATATGTGAGTTGTGTAATTTTAGGGTGAATACTATATCGTGTATATATCACTGATGACGGGGTTCTTGTCAGTTCTAGTTCTAGTTCAACGATGCCACCCGACAGGAGCATAGCTATGTTCGAAAGCAAAAGGTGGTGGTGAGTCAAGCAATAATAACTAGAGGAGATTTAATATCTTGGATCCCACAGCCTGCATCTTAATCAGTTCTGGGCTTTAAATATGGCATGGGTCTCCTCTCTGGCGAGGGTTTAGGCCATAGTCCACCACGCTGGCCTAATGCGCGTTGGGACTTCACACGTTTTTCGACGTGCAGGTTTCATCACGATGTTTTTCTTCTCCGAAAATCTCATGGTAAATTTCAAATTACATTTCGCACATACATTCTGAGAAACGCAATGGGGCGAGCCCGGATTCAAACGCACGGTCTCTGCTTGTAAGTCAGTAGGTTAAACTATTAGGGTGCCATGGTTAAAATATGTACATTGCTAGGTATTAATTAAAAAATAAATTACATCATGCGATATTTTGACATCATTTGCTCAAAATTTAGAATACAGTCATTATCGCTATCAGGACACTACAGAAGTGTTGACGGCTTCACCGATTTTTTATGAAATCGAGTGACGGGACGAACAAGTCGTGTCTGGTGGTAAGCGACACGCCTGTCCATAACAATTGCAGTGTCACTCAGAATTTTAAATCACAAAGATCTGAGGGGCCACTACGCCCGTCAGCATGATACATAAGTTGACAAGCCCACGTGCCTGTAATTTCACCAGCACCCTTACCCTTCAAAATCGGAACGCAGTAAAGCTCACGTTACTGCTTGACGGCAGAAATATGTAAGGTGGCAGTACTTCCCTGGACGAGCTCCATTATTTGTTTATTCTTGTGATGATAAATTTGCAAAGCAATGTCAAAGACCTTAGCACTATTATTTTGTATAAAAACGATAAGCGACCTAAACCTTTATTCACACTAAAACTTTATAATTCTGAAATATATAGGTTATTATAAAAAATAAATATTTTTAATTTAAATAGAAAACTACCATGAGACACAGACGTATTAAGTAAACTAACGGTTAAGTCACGTATTAAAGTCGAAGTTTTGCTCGAAATATTTAGAACAAGGCCGCGGTCCTTAATCATAAGCTTCCATTATTCGAAACATTCGTGTTTGAAAAACATGTCCAACAAAAATTCAACTTAAATTAGGCTTCATTACTTCACAAAGTATTGCCGATATTGTGGAGTATATACGGGTGAAAATCAATGCAACCCTCTGGGTCGAGCAGTTGGGGTCCCGCCACAATGTGAATTTTAATTCATTTGTGATGAGAGTACCAACTCAACGTCTGTCGACCTTCACGAAGGATGAGTTTTGGCCGAAGGGTGTCATGTACCGATGTTTCCGAGGACGGCTATCGGACACCCACGTTGCGCCACACGTCGCAGACAATACGTGTAAATGTTAATTACTCATTAGTGTTTTTATTGTATTATTATGTATGTTAGTTTACCCAGAAAAAAGGGACATCGGAGTTAGAAAAATATTTGTGTTTTATTACCCGTTACCGTTGTGGCCCATATAACTAAAAAGGTTGATAGGGCCACGGGAAGTTGGTGTTATGTAGGTTAGTTGGTAAGAGTGAGGCAACGGACTCTGGCTCGAGTCCAGTCGGATCACAATTTTCC